GCCCAAGAATGCCAGAAGAGGGCATCAGTCTGGAGTTATAGACAGTTGTGAGCAGACATGTGCATACTAGAAATTAAATACCAGGTCATCTAGAAGAGCAGCCAGTGCTCACTCATAACTGCTGAGCAATCTCTCTAGCCCCATACAAAATAAATCTTTAAAAGATTTTTTAAAATAGCCTCCCCCGGGAGACAGAGGAGTGGGGTGAAGTTCCTGAAGGAGGGCAGTCCTTGCATATGTGTCTTCAAAAGTTTATGGCAGGGATAGCTGTTGAATTTAAGACAGAGAATCCATAGCTAACACAGGAAGCTGACAGGAACTCTGACGTGACTGGAGAAATGATGAAGCCTGGTAAATACTAAGAGTGTGAGGTTGCTCTTAAGTTGTGACTAATCTGAAATGAAAACTCACAGAGAGAGTCACTAGAATGAAGATGCCTTGAATTTGTTCTGAGATGACCAAGGCTGACAGCAGTAGAGGTGAGATGTTTGTGTTGTGATGGTTAAAACTGGATGATGGGCATAGGGGGGCTTACTAATAAACTTTTATTATTTCTATGTTTCGGGGCTGGAGAGATGGCTCAGAGGTTAAGAGCACTGGTTGTGCTCTTAACTGAGGTGGTGAGGTCAGTGAAAGGACAGATACACAGACACATGTACAGAAAAGTTGAGATCAGGTGGGCCGTGCTCACTTTGATGGAGGGCACCAAATGTAGCAGCAACCCGAACTTACATGTTTATTTTGTACATCTGAATGGAGGAGACAGGTCTTTTGTATACAGTTGAACAAGGAGGCAGGCTTAGCTAATCTTGGGAGATTTCTGCAGAGGAGCAGTTTCAGGCTGTAATCATCCAGAAGGAAGAAGCTGTGATGTTGGATAATTTCTCTATATACTGATCAGTTCATATATACTCAAACAGACTGGAGGAAGTCTTTGTCGTTTCCACGGGTCTGAGGTTTCAGGAATCCTTGACATGGCTGTGCCGTGTCAACAGCATACCTTCACTCAGGACTTCATCTGTTCCTTGTACATTCAGGGCTTCCTCAGCTCCCCACACCACTGGGTCAGGAGAAGGGGACTTCCAGGATTTTCCATGTCCAAGATCTACATTTCCCTACTAAGTACATGGTTTATGCTCTTCATGTATTAGTAATCACAGAGGTTCTGCTAAAATTGCAGACTCTGAGTTCTGTCCTGGTCTCGCTGAATCAATATTTGGGGGGAAAGGGTCTAGGTCCCCACAGTTGTCTTTCAGGTGAATTGCACATAAAAAGTTTAAAAACTAATTCTAAGTAAAGATGAGGGCTCCCTCTTACTGAATGAACACTTTCATCATTTGTCAGATACCATACTAGACTCTGTGTATTAGCCTTCATGTAAATGAATATATTTGCATATGTAGGAGGAGAAATAATGGAGAGTTAATAAGGAGTAAAGCATGTATTTTAGATACATAAATGGGAGGTGCTCGAGTGAATGAATCTCTCAGAGGTGGCTTTGGATTCTGTCCTACACACCATAATGAAGAACAGTATATTCTTGGAGCAGGCATGAGATGGCGGAAAAGGACTTTGACTCTAGAAGACAAGTGGCTAGAACTAGTGCTGGCTCCTGGCCCAGAAGAGTTGAAAGTTGTGCTCAGTGGTTGACCTTCGATCTGCCTGGTAGACGGGGAGGGATGTACATGGTGGGCAGACAACTTTCCTGCATCTCTTCTCAACTGCCTTCAGTAGTCCTTAACTACTGTGCCAAAAACACATATTCTGAAGCCACATATCCAGGTCACATATATATTAATCTTTCTAGTCTCATGGGATTCTGATGAGGAAGTGGTTTTTTTTGTTTTGGTTTGGTTTTTTGGTTTTTCGAGACAGGGTTTCTCTGTGTAGCTTTGCGCCTTTCCTGGAAATCTCTTTGTAGAGCAGGCTGGCCTCGAACTCACAGAGATCCTCCTGCCTCTGCCTCCCAAGTACTGGGATTAAAGGCGTGCGCCACCACTGCCCGGCCTGATGAGGAAGTTACAAAAAAGTTAGCAATGGCAAAGAGTCTTCAAGCCTGTTCTCTGAGGTAGAATACTACTGCCTCCTTCACCACTCTGGTCTTGTCCTCACTACAAGACTCCACTCATAAACTGGCTTTTTATGTGTTCTCTGTGACAGATGTGTCCTACGTAGAGGATGTAGGAATAGTTTCTGTTGTAAATAATTTGTGTCTGATTATACAGTTCCCTTTTTTAAAGTTATGATCAGTCCCAAAGAATACTTAGGACTTGGGACTTATATAAATTGTAAAATGTCTACATTATATATTCATTTATTTTGAGTGTGTGTGCACACATGTGCACTCTCGAGCAGGCGCACACGCACACACGTATGCACTCATGCACATTAGTGTGCAAATGTGCCACCACATGCCTGTGGAGGTCAGAGGACAGCTTAGAGTTAGTCCTCTCCTTCTGCCGTGTGAGTTCTGGGGATTGAAATCTGGTCATCAGGTTTGATAGCAAGTGCCTTTACCACTGAGCCATCTTGCCACCCCTGTCTATATATTCCTTTGGCCCCAAGCCCTTTCTTTACCCAGTCAAGTGTTCCTAAGAAATTAAACATTCCTGTGGATGACAGGAAACCACTGTGTCATTACTACCTGGGACAGAACCAAGAACTCTCTCCCTCAAGTCTGTAAAGGCTTCCTGTCAGAAGCTGAGTGGTTGTTTTCCAAGGGACCAAGGGAAGCTTGTGGAGGTGTAGGCAGTGAAGAATGAATGGACCATCGTAGATACCATGCTTCATGCTAACTTGCTCATTTAATCATGTCAGTTCTAGCCTTTTCTAACACCTATAACCCCTTGCCAATTCCGAACCCCAGAAGTTCCACTGAGGTGTTATCCCTTAGGTTTACAGCATTTATTTGCTAGCAGATCTTGAACTGATCTGAGGCTGTTTGTAATCTTCATACTTTTTGATGTGGAAGTATCAATGCTTAATTACAGAGTCCTGCCCAGCCCTCACAGGAGTGTTGTAAAGCCTAAGTTATAAATACTATGGTTTGTTTGGGAATGGTGATGGTGGTGTTAATTCAAAGAATTTTTCAGAACACTTTTGGCCCCAAGAGATTGCTATGAGAAGTTGAAGATAAAGAGCGGTTGTTTGTTCTGTGTGGACATTATGTAAGCACCTGAGAAGGGACCATATCCTCTCACCAAATCACTGTTGAAAGCCAGCCATAGGGCTACACACCTGTAATCCCAGCACTAAGAGACAAGTCAGGAGGGCCAGGGATCAGAGCCGGCCTGGCTGGAGACACATAACAGACTTGGTCTCAAAAAGCAAAGGTTGCCCAGCAGTGGTGTTGAGGCAGCATACAGCTTTTATCCCAGTGCTTGGGAGGCCAAGGCAGGAGGATCTCTGAGTTCCAGGACAGTCAGGGCTACACTGAGAAACCCTGTCTGGAAAAGCAAAACAAAAAAGCCAAGGTCACTTGGCCCTGATGGTACTTGAAGAGTTCTGTAAAATACCTCACGAAGTGTCTTTAAACCCAAGTCTGCTTCCGTATGATTACACTTCCAACCTCTTTTTTTCCTCTTATGGTTGTATCCAGAGGACTAGGAGCAGGAATGTTCTGTTTGGAATATATGCCCCACTTTAGTGTGGTGGGAGGAACCGGGGAAGGAGGGACTCCAGGTGACCTAACTGGCATTAAGATTGCACTTATTCATAACCCTTATCCTTGGTCTTCAGAAAGCAGTCTTAGCGGGACTAAAATAAATAACCTAGTAAGGATCTTGTGAATAAGGATGGTGGAGATGGCATTCTTGTAAAATAGAAATAAAATAATGAGGTTTTGATATTTATTAAAGTTTCTGGTAAAATTAATGTATTTTTTACTAGTTTTTGTCTGAAATGCCTCACTCGAAAAAAATATGATTTTTTTTTTCAAGTGAAAACCACAAAAAATTTTCTTCCATGTTAAGCTTTTCTTTCTTTTTCTTTGGGCTAAACATTTTTTTAAACCTTTTCTGTTTTTTGTTTGTTTGTTTAGTTGGTTGGTTGGTTTTTCGAGACAGGGTTTCTCTGTATAGCATTGGTGCCTTTCCTGGAACTCACACTGTAGCCCAGGCTGGCCTTGAACTCACAGAGATCTGCCTGCCTCTGCCTCGTGCATGCTGGGATTAAAAGGCATGCGCCACCACCGCCTTTTCTGTTTTTTTTTAAATGTTGTTTGTATATATATGAACCTTACACCTGAATATGTGTATATGCACTGTGTGTATGCCTGATTCCTGCAGAAATCAGAAGGACCAGGTCTCCTGGGTGGTGGTAAGCTGCTGGGTGGGTGCTGGGAACCGAACCCATGTCCTCTGCAAAGAACACTTCTCTTAACTGCTGAGCCATCTCCCCAGCCCTTATTAAACATATTTTGTTTAAACTTTTATTGTGTTTCCCAAGCTTTTCTTCTTGTGGGATTATCGTATTTCACTTTGGGTTTTCCTTTTGAATATTAAGCATATATTTTGTAAAATCTGACTAACCTCATGAATATAGGAGTATTGGAAAGCATTAATGGAGCTAAACACATCAAGGATATCTTATGTCTGTTTCTTACTCAAACGGGTAGTTTCTATTGGGATTTAACATTCTTTTCCCATTAAATAAACCAGTGACACTGTGGTATAATATAAAGTTCACATTGGGTCTTTGTCCCTCAGTCCTGGTGTAAAACTCTAAAACCCCTATTGTCCTGAGTAATAGGATGAGAAACGACCACATTATTAAAGGCTGCAGTGGCTAGCTAGCCAGGAGAGGAGGGCGGGCCGACGGTCAGAGCCCTGGGAGCTTCAGGGCTGGCAAACACATCACCATGCCAGGAGGGTGCTGAGCCCACAGGTGGAAGCCCTCAGCCTTCACCTGGCACAAGTTGGCATTGGAGCGCCAGAGAATCAGTGTGGAAGCATGCAGACTGTCTCCTCCGTGTTGCCTGATAGCACTCTCTTGCTTTACAGTATCTGACCAAACAGGTGGAGCTTCTGCGGCAAATGAATGAGCAGCATGCCAAAGTTTATGAGCAGTTAGATGTCACAGCCAGAGAACTGGAAGAAACCAACCAGAAGCTGGTTGCTGAGAGCAAAGCCTCACAACAAAAAATCCTGAGGTAAAATTTCTGTCACTGAGGGCAATCTACAAAGGAGGTACTTAGTATAATTTGAAGTAGAATGTGCCTGTAGGGGGTTGGGCAATAAAGGATAAGGGTTCATTCTTTTAGGAGAATGAGGATTAACTGTAAGTCCTTTCCAATTAAGAAAGCCAAGTTTGAGTGACTCACACCTAATCCCCCTTCACTAGTTTTGATCTTAATTTAATGTGACAAGCAGCAACCAGCTTATGTCTTCTTCACAGCCTCACGGAAACAATTGAATGCCTACAAACCAACATTGATCACCTCCAGAGCCAAGTGGAGGAGCTGAAATCTTCCAGCCAAGGAAGAGCGGGGCAGAAGACATGTGACCAGGAGAAGCCGGCACCCAGCTTCTCCTGTCTGAAAGAGCTGTATGACCTCCGCCAGTAAGAGCCTGCCTTTCTGTGGATTTGATAGCTAGAAACATCCCGTGTCGTTGACCCATTCCGGAGTACAGGAGATGGAGAGCTCCGTTTCAAGAAGTGCCCCGTGCCTGCTAAACCACCAGTAGTTTGAACAAAGCCACTGAACTTAAAAAAGTATTTTCACCTAAAAAAAAGCCTTTATAATTTATAGTTATGAGTTTGAGTCTTTAATAAATACTTACTAAACACCTGTCAGACATCAGCAATGATGGCCAAAATAGATGACATGACTTGTGTCTTCATGACCTTTCCTGAAGTCAGATGCTCCATAACCCAGAAATACATACACACAAGCTGCCTAAGATCGAATAGGAGAGGCCAATTAATGTTTCTCACTCTTTACTTTATGTCACATTACCTAGAGAGATCTGGGGTTTTTGAAATAAGATCTCATACAGCCCAGCTGGCCTCAAACTCCTGATCCCCCTGCCTCCAGCTCCCAAGTGCTGAGATTACATGTGTGCCCCTGGCATTGTGGATGTTTTCCAAGAGCAGATACTCTCTCTCAGGTCAGAATTTCTAGGTGTGATCCCAAAACTGTCTCGGTGGTTCTGATGTGTAACCCAAGTTAAAAGTCCAAACATCGTGTTCCTTAACCTTGGTCACACATTATGGAGAACATTTAAAACCCTTAGGTCCAGGTAGCAGACCAAGTAGGTCAGAATCAATGGTGTGAGCTCCAGGTTTTAAGACCACCCAGCTGATTGTGATCTGCAACTAGAGATGAGACTCTCTGGTCCATTATATTTCCTAGTAAACAGTTGTCATTCTGCTGGTCTGCAAGTGAGTTTTCTATGCTACTTTTACTATTGGGAAACAAATCAGTCACAAAAACTGCATTTGCTTTCAATATTTTCCAGCTTCATAGAGTTTCATTTTAGCCACTGCTTATAGCACTGAATGGGCTAAAAACTGGTGTCACAGCCCCTTTCAAAGATTTAGTTGAAAAGCCCCAGCAGCCTCCTTTGCGCCATCAGTTGACCTTTAAATATTTCCATGTTTCCTCGTAGACACTTTGTTTATGACCACGTGTTCGCTGAGAAGATCACTTCCTTGCAAAACCAGCAGAGCCCTGATGAAGAAGAAAATGAGCATCTGAAAAAGACAGTGACGATGTTGCAGGCCCAGCTGAGCCTGGAGAGGAAGAAGCGAGTGAGCGTGGAGGCGGAGTATCAGGTGGTGCTGAAGGAGAACAGTGAACTGGAGCAGCAGCTTGGTGCCACAGATGCCTACCGAGCCCGAGCACTGGAGCTGGAGGCCGAGGTGGCTGAAATGCGGCAGATGCTGCAGGCAGAGCATCCTTTTGTGAATGGTGTGGAGAAGCTGGTCCCCGACTCTCTGTTTGTTCCCTTCAAGGAGCCCAGCCAGAGCCTGCTGGAGGAGATGTTCCTAGCTGCTCCAGAAGCACCGAGAAAACCACTCAAGCGCAGCAGCAGTGAAACGGTGCTCAGCAGCATGGCAGGGGGGGACATTGTGAAGGGCCACGAGGAGACCTGCATCAGGAGAGCAAAGGCTGTGAAGCAGAGGGGCATCTCCCTCCTGCATGAAGTGGACACTCAGTACAGTGCCCTGAAAGTCAAGTATGAAGAGCTGCTGAAGAAGTGCCAGCAGGAGCAGGACTCACTGTCACACAAGGCTGTGCAGACATCCAGGCTGCTGGCCAGGGACCTGACAGGACTGGTAACCCAGTCTGAGGCTGGAGCCAGCAGCTGGGAACCCACCCCCGTCAGCCCAGAGCCCACCACTTCCCCCACCACCACACCTCCAGAGTACAAAGCACTGTTTAAGGAGATATTTAGTTGTATCAACAAAACAAAGCAGGAAATAGATGAACAGAGGACAAAATACCCATCTCTGTCCTCTTACTCTTAATGAGACCTCCAGTTCTAATCTGCCTGTTTACTTTCACCCCCTCGAATCCAGACACAGCGCAGTCTCCAAAGCTTGATGTTGCTAAAGATATTTGCCTCGTTGCTTTGTTACTTGGCAAAAGCAGCAGGAGAGGTGGCTGACAGTGTTGACTCCAGGGTCCCTAGGAAATCTCACGGTAGACTGGCCTCTGGTTGGTGCATTGATGAGGCTCATTTCCAGGAAAAGCCCTAGAACCGGTGGAGGGGGATCCATGTACTTGGAGTAGGCTAAAGGACCTACAGTGTGAGGCAAAGGACAGAATTGAAACAAAACTAAGGCTGTTCCTGTTGCTTCCAAACTTGGCTTCTCAAACTACTGGAACTCCAAGGTCTGCTTAACTAAAATACTTTTCACACTCATTCCAAAGAATGTTGAGAAAGCAGGAATCTTTTCAGATGACATTAACCAGCTTCTTAAACCCCTGAAGTTTGTTGCATCTGCTACCAGTTGAATGATGACTGACAGGCAGTCCTATTTCCAAATTCAGTGACTACCAATTGAAATGGCAAGTTTTGGTTTGACCAATGCCTGCTGGTCTATGCCCAGCATTCAGCTGTTTCACTCACAGCTAGGCATGTAGTATTAATTGTGTTTTCAAATAGAAACTAAAGAAGAAAGGAGAAAGCTCTTAGGTGTTTCTGTGCTGACCACTTGGCAGCCACAGCTGCTTCTGCTCAGTTCTTCCCATTCCCAGACTTGCAGATGTCCCTGTCTACTTCCTTACACAGTATTGATGTTCTCACTGTGGAAAGACTCTTCCTCTCACTTGCATACTTTAATTTAAAATATTTAAGAGAACCATGGTTCTGATTGTTGTATATATTTTTCTAAAAGCCGAATAAAGCTATCTATGAATGTGAACAAATAGATCTACTGCCTATTGTTTTAAGCTTAATGCCATTTTGCAGTTGAAACCAGCTGGCTTTTTCCCAATAGACAGCTCTAGGGAATTTGAAAGTGATTTCCCCTCATTTTCTTTTAAGCAAGAAATCCTTAGAATTGTATAACTTAACAAAAATTCTGTCCATGTTGCTAAATATTATGATTGAAAACATTTCCCCACTATTTCAGAAGTGCCTGGCTTAGTTCTGAATTCAAAGCACTGTTGTTAAAGCATCCGATCAATTAATCATGGTTAAGAACTTTTCAGTTTGTGACTATTGGGGCTGGGGCAAAGGCTCAGCTGAGTAAAGCGCTTGTGCAAGCATTGAGACTTGAGTTCATGCCTCAGCACCCATGTAAAAGATAGCATGGCAGCATGTACATGTAGTACCACTACTGTAAGGCAGACACCAGCTGACCCCAAGGACTCACTGGCCCTAGCCAGCCAGCTCCAAGTGCAGTGAGACACTCAAAAGATGAGCACAAGGGCTAAGAGCATGTCTCTGGTTCATTGCTGAAGAGTACACTGCTCCTGCAGAGGGCCTGAGTTAGTTCCCAGCACCCACCCAGGCAGCTCACCACTGTCTGAGACTCCGGCTCCAGGTGAGTGTGATGTTTCTGACCTTGAGCAGCTGCACACACATACGAGTGCTTGCATGTGCAACTGCACACAATTTTTTTTCTTTTTTTAAAATTTATTTTATGTGCATTGGTATTTTGCCTGCATGTACATCTGCGTGAGGGGGTGTCAGATTTTGGAGTTATAGACAGTTGTTAGCTGCCATGTGGGTGCTGGGAATTGAACCCGAGTCCTCTGGAAGAGCAGTCAGTGCTCTTAACCACTGAGCCATCTCTCGAGCCCCCATGATATTTTTTTTCTTAAAAGAGTGATGATATAGGAAGACAACAACCTCTGGCCCACAAATACATCAACACATACACACAATAGCATTAGTCAAATTTGATGAGTCTTGATTCCAAATTAGATGTGCTTTTTAATTAACTCTCACAGTTTTGTACCAGTGGCATGGATAAAGGACCTGAGCTCAATCCCCAGAATCCACATGGTGGAAGAGAACCAAGTGCCATAAGTTGTCCTCTGACCTCCACACTGGTGCATTCACATGCCCCTATATACACACTCACAAACAAAATGTAAACATTTCCATTTTTGTTTTGGTTTGAGATGGGATTTTACTGTCTAGCTATGGCTAACCCTAAACTCACTGTAGACCAGGCTGGCCTTGAGCTTGCAGCACTTCTGCCTGTGGAGAGCTAGCATCTGAGTACCCACACCCAGCTTCCAGGTTCATTTTTGAGATGGTGGTCTCATGTACCTGATGATGACGCTGAACTTCACATTTCATTTCCCAAGTTGTCGCTGGTGTTATCATGCCTGCTCTAAGCAGTACTGGGGATCAAACTCTGGGCTCATGTGTTCTAGGCAAGTACTTTGCCAACTAACCTACATCCCAAGTCTTGAGGCAAAGTCTTGCCATGTAGTCCAGACTGACCTCAAACTGGTAATCTAACTCCTTTAGCCTTTCAAGTACTGTGATTACAGGTATGTACTGCTACTTCCGGCTTTCTTTCCTGACTACCAACCTACCTCTTCCCCCACATCAGCCAACCAGTTTCCTGTATATTCTTCCCAGATAGGCAGGCATACATTAGCACAGAAATAGTTGCCACCTCACATTTAAAAACAGTACTGTATTGTAAATACTATATCTTAATGATAACTATACAGTGTCACAGCCTCCACGAGGAGATGTAATAAATACATACATACCTATGTGCATACACTTAAACATGACTTTAGAAGTGAAGGCAAAAAGATGTGAGCACTTTGGCATCACTGAACCGTCATGCTTCAAGTAACTCCACATAAGGATGCCTCATTTCTCACACCCATGCCAATGGGCTTTTACTTTTCTGAGAAAAGGTCTCATGATGTTACTCTTAAATAACAGGCAAATGGTGGTGTCCTAATAGCTTATATTTACATTTATATTATGAATGAAGTTGTATATTCTTTGGTTTTTCTTTTTGCTTTTATTTGTGCTTTTTTGTTGTTGTCTTGTTTGCCTTTGAGACAAGGCCTCTTCGTGTGCCCTGGCTGGCCTGGAACTTGCTCTGTAGACCAGGCTGACCGCTCTCTGCTGGCCGCTGCCTCCTAAGGTATGTGCCACTGCTAAAAGAGTTGACTATTCCTACTGTTAGCCATTTGTATTCTCCTTTTGCCTGTTTGTTAAAGGGCATTGGTATTAGGAAGTATACTTTTGCAGTTGGATATTGCAAGTATTTTCCTTGAATATCTTATTTTACTTTTAATGGCAGTTTGACAAACAAATTTATAACCATGTTTCTTGATCAGTGTCTTGAAATGATTTGCCCCTTTGTTTGATAGGTCTATCCATCTGAACTATATTCCCCACCAACCAAAATGCCCCTCATGAATTTGAACCAATTTATATCGTAGGCTCTGATGTCCATGTACATAGGTCAATTTTAGTGGCTGTATTTGGATATTTATATTTTTATAACTGAAGGGGAAAATGGAATTTCTTTCATAGAATTTTCCCAAATGTGGTGTGTATGTGTGTGTGTGTGTGTGTGTGTGTGTGTGTGTGTGTGTGGCGGTGGTGGTGGTGGTGGGGTAGTGGCATGTTTTTCTCTAAATGTCTAGTTCTTGGATTGAAGTATTTATTAAGGTCAGGTATTTTTGTTTTGTTTTAAAGATTTGGGTTTTTTTGTTGTTTGTAGCTCTGGCTGTTCTGGAACTCCATATGTAGACCAGGCTGGT